TTTCATTAATTAGATTAAATGTCTTTTTTTTTTTTTCTTTTTTAATAAACTTGCACTCAGTTTTTCTGAATTCCAAACTTGATGAAATGTGAAGCGGTTTCTTTTGGTTTGAGGATTCCACAGATCCGTCGGTCTGAAGTCGCAGTGTAAAATAAATATATAAATAAAATAAAGATTTCTCTTTGGTTAACGGCACCCAAATCTGATCCCGGTTTAGTTTTAAAGTTCCCTGTGGCTGAAAGTGAGCAAACAGTTGGATCAGTTGTTTGTGTTTTCCTACAAAAGTGGAAAGCAAACACAGAAAAAAAACTCTTTTATTTCCATTTCAAACATAAAGGAATCTGAGAAGCATTTTAAAACTGAACAAAATACCAAAACTGATGATAAACTGCTGCCGCGTGTCCAATTTTTCCCCAAAAAAAGATTTATCTGACTCAAATAGGAGTCTAAACTAATGTCTGATTATTGGTTTGAGCTCATTCAGAGACAGATTCTCCACCAGGGAGAACAAATATCTCCATTTTCTGTAAATAGAAGCATCCTAATGTGCTTTAACTACAGAAAACTGCCCACAGACGCAGACCAGCTGGGGCCGTTTGCATTCATTTGTACCGTTTTCCTGTGAATGCACCACGAACCTGAGCAGCCAATCAGTTCCTCTGTAGCAACGCTTGACCCCCGTCTTTATTTTTTATGGAGTTTTAGAGGAAAATTGCACTGATTTGAAGGAGTTTCCTGTCATTTGTTGCTTTAAAGCACCACATTTTATTAGACTGACTCTTAAAAAAGTCGTTAAAAGGCTGACTCAGCAGAATCCACCACAAACTCCGTCCTAATGAGAGGTGTGGGTGTCGTCTATTGCACTTTGGCCCTAAAACGAGCAGCTACTGTGTGTCGGAATCAGAAATACTTTAATAATCCCAGAGGGAAATGATCTATTCAAGTATAAAGATTAATGTCTGTGCTGTGGCCTCCATCTTAATTATTCTGAATTTTCTAACAGAAAAGAGCAAAAACTAAATAATCATCTGACTGGCAGCATTTTGGATCAACAAATCCATCAGATTCTCAGCTTTTTTTTCCACTTCCGTTCAGATCCCGGCCTATCAGAGCATGTGTAAAAGTTTAAAGTTATTTATCTGCTTACTTAGTTGTCAGAGTCATGTTGAACAGGGATTTACTCTGATAACAACTTAATGGTTAGGACACACACCTGTGGGCTAGGACATGCTAATGCTAATGCTCGTGTGGGATGGGACTTTAAAATAAAACTGGATCTGGAGTCTGGATCGACCCTACATGGGTGCTGTGGTTTCCATGGTTACGCTGATGCTGGACATCGACCGGACCGCCGTGTTTCAGAGGGTAAACCAAAAAAACTGCTCAAGTAAGCAGCTTTCTTTTCCCAAAAATGTAAAAAAAACATAAGAAAAAGATCATTTTTTACATTTGAGCCTCTGGGGGAGGACGGAAGTTTCAGGTTCGGTTCTGTTTGGCTCTGACTCTGATCCAGATATCGGATCGGGACGAAAGAGGACGATTCCTGATGATTCAGCAGTTTTTAGCTTGTGTGGAGAAAAGGGAGAACTCTATCCCACCTGTTTAGATCTAAAGAGGCTCTCCCCTCAGGCCTTTTTTCCTTTTTGTTTTTTTTTCAAATATCTCCGGCTGATCCGATCTGGATCCGGGATCGGATCGGGCCTAGTCCAGCAGGGCGGCCTGAGCTTTCTGAACGGCGGCCTGCAGCATGCGGCGGTTGCTTAGCAACGGCTGCAGGGCGGCCGGATCCATCTCCAGCAGCATCCCTGATAACACACACACACACACGACAACAGGTGTTTAGAACCGGGACAACAGAGCCCCCCCCCCCTCTGATCACAGCCTGTGATGTCATCACCTGTGATGTCATGGGCGTGGCGTGGATCTATGGCCTCCACCAGAGAGAAGAGCTCCTCCCCCAGCCGGTCCAGCTCGTCCGAGGAGTCGCCGGCCTCCGTTTCCACTACGCTCCGCCTGGAGGGACAGCAGGAGCCAATCAGCTGCCTGACATCCATCCATCCATCCATCCATCCATCCATCCATCCATCCATCCAT